TTTCCCTACTATATAAAGACTTCTATATATTTAGTTTTTCCTTATATATATATATATATAATGCTTCAGTTTTTGTTTAATTCAATATATATATATGTATATACTGAATAAATTTTTCTTGTAGAAGTGCACACAATTCCAGCCAAAATGTTTCGAAGAGTATTGACCATCGTTCAAGCACACTGTAAACTTGGCTTAACAGCTACTTTGGTTCGAGAAGATGACAAAATACAAGATCTTAATTTCCTGATTGGACCAAAATTGTATGAAGCTAATTGGCTGGAACTACAGAAGGCTGGGTACATTGCTCGTGTGCAGTGTGCTGAGGTCAGCAAAAAGCATTTAATAAGACATTTTATTACTGTATTTTATGTTGTTTGTTATACAACCTGTATTATATTTTAGTACATTTTATCTTTATGTAGATGTAACATGCTGTTTTATATTCTAGACTATTCTCTATTGTTTGTGAATTTTCAGTACATTTAATAGTATTTATACTTGACACAGTATTATCAGTAGAGATAAACCTTTTTTGTTGTTGTTGTAAGTATGGATAAACACATTTTTCACAAGTATGTTCTAGACGTTTTTGATACTCGATAATTTTACTCATTATTCTCAGAGCTGTATTTAAAGATCATAATGGTAATAAATGAGCTATAGTTATTATAGTAGCTCTTGACAGAAAAGTATTTATGGGGTTTTGAGTCCTTTTTACTTTACCATACAGTAACCTAAATTAATTTAGGTGTGTGGATAATGTTATGACATTGCGCCTAATTCATTGTTTGATATTGTACAGCAGACCAGCAGTTTAATGATTATATATGTATATGTGTTAAAGATTTTTATTCTTTTTCACCGAAGATAAAATTGAAAAGAGAATCTGTGACATAGAGGCCTATTGTAGTCCTAATTTAGGTATGTGAATAATGTTATGACATTGCACCTAATTCATCATTTGATATTGTACAGCATTATGCCTCAACTTCAGTGATTGTCTTTTCAGTTTTACCTTTGATGAAAAAGAAAATTAAATCTTTAACACACTTAAGATTTTTCAAATATCAAGCATTAACATTTTTATTGTTGTGTTTTTATTTTCATGATGTGTAATAAATACTAAGAACTCTTCAGTAATGATGTAGAATAATAGAAGATCCATGTATTGTTAGGGTGTGTGTGTGTGTGTGTGTGTAAACAAAAACACCATAACTTGTGCTTCACATAATGTGGAGCTTTTGTGATCATCACTTTCTATTTTAATCATTTACTGGTCTCCCAGTGGGTCAGAGGTAAGTTTGAAGGTTACAACACTAAAAACTGAGTTTCAATACCCATAGTGGGCATAATACAGATGGCCCATTGTGTAACTTTGTGCTTAACAATGAAACAGTCATCTTCCGGTTTTATCCATTAATTTATACATTTGTGTGATTAAAACATAAAAAATTAATGTTATAATTTTTTTACAATTATTCAGAGTTGATTTGACTGTATAACATAATTTTCAGAATTTATGCTATATGTAGATGATAATTTTTTAAATACCTCAGTAATAAAAACATATCTAAGTTATATCACAATTGAAAAAAAAAAGAGGAAAACAATTTTAAATACTTGTTGTTAAGTGAAAATACATTTGTATTATCAAATAATAGATTGAATAATTTTCTCCGTAGTATAGATGTGAACCATATTTTATTAGAACTAATAAAAAACATTTTATAAATGTAAAATGATGTAGGGATGGCAGTGCCAAAAATAATGCAAATAAGAATATGGGGATGATACAGCTATACATAGTTCATCCTTACATGTCTTTCAATATTAAAATGTAATTTTACACTGTAAAATGCACGAGTACAAATTGGTTACGAGGTCAGTCAATACCTCACAGCAAGAGTCTGTGATAGTCTGTAATGATAAAAACATTTTTGGACTCAACTTGATTTTCCTTGTATGTAAGTCCTAGGCTCTTAGTTACACTACATTGATGCCTACCCTGACATGACCATGATATTATGATAAACAAACTATATCCCACAGTTGGGAATATATTAAAGTCAAGTATGAATTTTACAGTGTAACATTAAATTTCAATGTTGAAAGGGCCTGGCATGGCCAGGTGGTTAGGGCGCTCGACTCGCAATCTGAGGATCGCGGGTTCGAATCCCCGTCTCATCAAACATGCTCGCCCTTTCAGCCGTGAGGCGATATAATGTGACGGTCAATCCCACTTTTCGTTGGTAAAAGAGTAGACCAAGAGTTGGCGGTGGGTGGTGATGACTAGCTGCCTTCTCTCTAGTCTTACACTGCTAAATTAGGGACTGCTAGCGCAGATAGCCCTCGTGTAGCTTTGTGCGAAATTCAAAAACAAACAAACAATGTTGAAAGTCATGTAGCGATGATCTATGTATAGCTGTATCATCCCTGTATTTGTGTTTGCATTCTTTTTGGCACTGCCATACCTACATCATTTTAAATTTACAAAATGTTTTTTATTACTTTGTGACATTTTTTCCCCTGACTGAAAGTTAATGTATTCTATGACTGTGTGTGTAATAAAATTTGATATTATATGTATTGATTTTTTTTTTTTACTCATTCAATTCATACATAATATAGGGGTTGGCTTCTTAAAGACACTGATTGTATAGTGTACAAAACATTGAGAATTCTACATGTTACAGTTATCATGTTACATATCATTGATTATTGGCTGGTAATTTCTGTTTCACTCTGAACTTAAGCTTTTTACAGGAACACCAAATATTTGTGTGAAAGCTAACTTCAAAGGGTAATGATAACATCATTTACTCTTGAATGATGATGTGTTTTTTTTGTAATTACTACTAGTTATTACGACTAAGCGATGACGTCGTGTACTGCTCAGAAACACATAGAGTGGAATTAGGTTTAAACTGACATTTGTGATAAAATAGTTGTAGAGTTATCTTGACTGAAACAAGAGAAGAAAGATAAACAATTTGGTTGTGTTGGTCACTTTCTAGTTTTTTATCTTAGTAATGGTTTCTTTAGTTAGATAAACAAACAAAAGTGAGTGAAAATCATTTTTGAAAGTAAAACTGTCAATTTTTATTTTTTAGCGTGCATATTTGTATTATGCGTATTGAGTACCTTGGCCATCCCTACATATAGAGCCTACCGGCTCTATGATAACTAGAATAAATTTAATTCAATCCAATTTAAAGATAGCATTAAGATGACTTGTACCTAGTTACAAATTAATGGTGTTCTGGAGCAGTTGCAGTTTTTTTCACAAACAAAAGTGTTTTCTCTTCAGTTTATTTTACAAGCTGAATATAATTTTGTTGCTTTTCAGGTTTGGTGTCCTATGACACCAGAATTCTACCGAGAATATCTTACTTCTAGAGCCAGCAAGAAACTAGTAAGTTTTGTGTTCAGTGAATAATTAAGAAAATAGCTTCAGAAGCATTCAAGAATGATGAAACCAGTTGATAAATTGCTGGTAAACTAACGACAGTAACACTGAGTATATAAAGAACAACAAATTATTCATTAACTTTTGGAATGTTATAAAATGATTTTACTAGTGTGGTATTCTTAGGAATGGATAAAAACTGTTACTGTAATAACTTATGGGATGGCAGAAAATGTTATTCTAAGTTAAACTAAGTTTTCTACCTGACTGTACTTTAGGAAGAGACTGAACAGGTAGACATGTGATCAGTAACTATAATAACATAAGGACTGGCAGAAAATGTTATTCTAAGTTAAACTAAGTTTTCTACCTGACTGTACTTTAGGAAGAGACTGAACAGGTAGACATGTGATCAGTAACTATAACAACATAAGGACTGGCAGAAAATGTTATTCTAAGTTAAACTAAGTTTTCTACCTGACTGTACTTTAGGAAGAGACTGAACAGGAAGACATGTGATCAGTAACTATAACAACATAAGGACTGGTAGAAAATGTTATTCTCAGTTAAAGTGAGTTTTATTCCTGACTGTTTTGAAGGAATAGGCTGAACAGGTAGAGATAAGAATAGTAACTGCAACAACTTAAGTACAAGCAGAAAATGTTTTCTTGAGTTGATTTGAGTTTGCTACTCAACTGAATTGAAGGAAGAAAGTGGACATAAGTTGTCATTGAAAACAACTAATTTTTCATTAAATAAATTACATACAAAGTCAATTCAGCAGATCGCACAAAAAATGACAGACAACATTACTCTAGAGACAGGAGTGAAGAGCTCTGAAGGAGAAAAGATCTGGATAGTTAATCACAATATTGAAAAAAAAAATGATCATCTCTCCCAAAGTGCATGCACTACATATATAACTCCTGATTATCACATGAGTAGAATTGGAAGAATACCACCTTCAAGCATTTTCAGATCTCTGCACAGTTATCCTTACAATTTACTCACATAATCTGGTTCATACCATAATATTTGTTGTTCATGAAAACTGTTGATATTTAGCGCCTACACCACTGCTATATCTGTTGTATCCCAACCAGCCTGATGAGCTTTGGCACCGAGTGAAAGGTCTTGTTGGTAATGGATATGGGAGATGTAGTGTGGTTGACATATTATATCATATTCTCCTTTGATTTTGTTTATGTATTCTTGGAGTTGCCATACAGACTACATAGTAAACTAATGGATGTAGTTCTACAATGACATTTTACATAGGAGGAATCCAGTGGCCCTGAAAGGGAACCATCAAGTACAGTGTGTAACTAGGACAACAGTAATTTACTCCCACTGCAGAACCAGTTCTCTGTTATTAAACCTATACATGTACATGCTTTAGAACACTGGTTTATGTAATTTTATTGAAAACAAAACATTGTGTTAAATATTATAATTCCAAACTTTCAAATATAGTCCATGTGTTTTAATATCTGTAAATATTGGACATAGCACCCATTTATTAAACCTGATTCTGGTGGCTCTAGATCCTTATACTATATTTATACCTCTGTTGTTAAATAGTTCATTTATTCCATGTTACTGTACATGATTCATTCTTACTGTAGTGCTGGAACCAAGAAATTTAACATCCTTAATCATTGTATGGCGTGTACAAATTTCCCTGTACCAGCTTTATGTAATCATTTTCATTCTCTTTCAGTTGCTTTTTGTGATGAATCCCAACAAAGTTCGCTCTTGCCAGTTTCTCATTCGTTACCATGAAGGAAGAAATGATAAAATTATTGTTTTCTCTGATAATGTTTTTGCACTGAAGCATTATGCCATCAAATTAAATAGGTAGGTCTCTTAAGTCTGCAAAGAGTGTACTTCCTACCAACACTTAACAAGTCACCAAATATAATTGTATCGTTTTTTTAACTTAATTTATTGTAATATTTGAGTCAGAAAGGAATAAATGACTTATGCTTATCATGAATAATGACATAGGATATGGAACTGTTTAGTGTAGCACAGAACAAACAAATATTGTGCCATCTTTCTTGATTAAAGCTTTCAAGATAATAAGGTCTTTATTTATTTTGTAGATACTCAAATTAGTTTAAGATTTTTCAGCTTATGTTAAAATTGTTGCACTGACTGTGTGTTAGTTACAGCATTAAGCTATGACACCGGAAACTTATGACAATGTGTATTTCATTGAGCTTAGGGTAATGTGTGTGGTGTGTTATAATTAAATTATAGTGTGGAATTTCCAATGAAAATTTCTTGTTTGTAATGAAATTTTGTATATATATGTATCTTTCAAACTATTTGTGAAAAATTTTCTACCTGACATAAAAATCAACCATTGTTTCTTCACACTCATAAAGCATATTTTTCATAGAAAACATATGACTAATTTTGTAATATAATACAAGGTAGTTGTATCATACCTAAATCTCTTCAGTATGGTTAACATTTGATTGTTGTTAGTCCATGACCTATGCTTTTGTATCATTCATATATAGTACTTGTATACTAATGTAAAACAAATTAAAATTAAATGGACTAATTATACTGCTCAATGGCAAGCAGCATAACATGAATATCAAAGAGGTATTGATGCATATTTTGATCACTTATACATTTATAAAAGCTTGAAGCACTTTGTGACGTAGATCTTTCTTGTTTAAATAACATAGACTGAAGATTGTTTATATTAGAAATCTTTGTGTAGAAGTAATGAGATCATTTGACTAAGTTAACTGAAAGAGAATTGGTAAAATTAACATTTTCTTTTTTAGTCTACTTGTAAAAGGTTCTAATGCTTAAAAAAAACGATAAAAGCAAGTAAGAGAACTTGTGCATGTGACTGAATGATGTTTTGATTCAGTAAGTGCATATTCATGTTTTTTTGAGGAGATACATGTGCCAAAAGCTAAGAATTTATTTTTATTTTCTTTCTTTTTTTTAATTTTTATTTTGCTTGCCATGAATTGTTCTTTAGCATATTCCTTTGTTTTGGGTTGGTATCATATGTATATGTTTTTGACAAATCTACAAAGTTTTTTTTTAATCATCCACACACTTTGGTGCTGTCTAAACACTTTCACGTGAGATTAAGTTAAATGTTAATAAATTTCTTTTATTGTATTTAAACTCTATATTTACTCAAAATAAACTGACATTACTGAAAGGTCAATTAAAAGGTTTTGTAGCTTATTGAATGTTCAAAATGTTCATTGAAAAGCTTTTATAGCTTATTGTATGTTCAATGAAAAGTTTAGATAGCTTATTGAATATTCTATGGAAAGTGAATATAGCTTAAAGCTCAATAGAAAGCTTATATTTCTATTATTGAAAGAAGAACAGAAAGCTAAATAAAAGTTTGGAAGAGCATAGAGTGAATATGTAATTTTTTTCATATGAGATGTATTCAAAACTGTACTTCAGCATTGTACATGTTTACAAGTTGGGACTTGATTACTCGATACCTTTAATTATTTGGAATAAATGTTATATTTTCTCTTGATATTAATTATTGATTCGTATCTTTATGAGTTACGGAATCTGTTGTTTATTTTCAATGGGTACATAGTTCATTATATTTAGAATTTTGATGTTTGTAATAACAAACTTTCATCATATTCTATGTTTGTCAAATGCTCCAATATGAATTTTTTTTATTTCAGACCATACATTTATGGACCCACTTCTCAAGGAGAAAGAATGCAAATCCTGCAGAATTTCAAATACAATCCTCAAGTGAACACGATTTTTGTCTCCAAGGTGGCTGATACGTCTTTTGACTTGCCCGAAGCAAGTGTTTTAATTCAGATCTCAAGTCATGGTGGCTCTAGAAGGCAGGAAGCTCAGCGGCTTGGAAGAATTTTGCGAGCAAAGAAAGGTGAATCTTTCAATCTAAAATATTGTGCAATGATTCTATAAACACAATAAAATGATTTATTAGAAGGTATAAGTTTTTCGGTCAATATCTTTTAGTAAGAACATGTTCTTACCTTTACTAGGATTTAACCAGGATACAATTGTTACATTTTAAAAACTAAAGAGTATATATATATATATATATATATATAACACAGTTTGTTACAACACAGATACCAGCAACATCAATTATAGAATACAGTGCAAGTTGTTATAATTTTCCAAAAAGACCATCTGGACCAGAATCTTTTTTAATGTTTTATTTTTATTTTTGCCCCCACAGTGGTTCAGCAGTAAGTCAGAAGGCTTATAGTGCTTCTCTAAAGTTTAGTTTGTTTATTTCTTGTTAGACTGGTTAATTGGAAGTGAAACCAGTCTATAGTCTGATAGATGTTTTCCTCATGTACGAATTTTAGATAAAAATATACATTTTGTTAAAATCTTACTTTAGCTCTTTTTCACATTTAAACATAAGGAAAAGAACTACTGTTATAGCTTGAATAGTATTTTGACATAGAAATTGTATTGTAAGTGATAGCAAAAATCCAAATGTCCAATTATTTTTAAATTTAATACAGGGATATGTAAAATGTATAAAGACAAATAATCTTGATTCACACTGATATCACTACAAAGTAGGGGGCATTACAACGAATGAATAGTATGAATTCCATATTTATGAAGTTGGGAATACTTTATCTGTTTTCATAAATTATAATGTGCACGTACAATTTTTGAATTAGGGCATAATCCAACGTGTGCATTTGAAACATCTTTTAGCACTGAGGGTACATGAAACAATAATGCAAAAGAATTATTTAAAAAATTAAATCACATTAGCATTTTGTTAATACATTATTAAAATTATTTTATAAATGCCTGGGTAATATTATGAAGTACGTTACTACAGTTATCAGAGAGAGAAAATGATATTCTAACACTTGTTATCTATAATGTGAGGTTAGCTAAATCTGAGTGAAAATATTAAAAGAAAACACATATGACAAAAAAAAAAGGCCCAGCATAGCCAGGTGGTTAGGGCGCTCGACTTGCAATCTGAGAGTTGCAGGTTCGATTCCCCATCCTACCAAACATGCTCGCCCTTTCAGCCGTGGGGGTGTTATAATGTGATGGTCAATCCCACTATTCATTGGTAAAAGAGTAGCCTAAGAGTTGGCGGTGGGTGGTGATGACTAGTTGCCTTCCCTCTAGTCTTACACTGCTAAATTAGGGATGGCTAGCTCAGATAGCCCTCGTGTAGCTTTGTGCGAAATTCAAAACAGAACAAAGAGAAAAAAATTGTCATGCTGCAGTAAAAAGAAATGTTTTTGTCATCACAATATACTACAGTTCAAGAGTATTAACAAGCTTCACATAATTTAAACTCATATAACTTCTGATTGGTCACATTTGTGTATACATAATTCTGTATATTTTAATACTTATTAATAAAGTTGGAAAGTTGGTATATTTTTATAAAACAAGGAAAAAGTAGATAACTAAAAGAGCCCCAACTGAAAAACTTTTTAAAAAAAAGACTAAATGTTCTTATTATCAGGCATATGATAATTTCCTGAAACCGTAAAATTACTTCTATCTTCTTTATCATTCCCTGAATAATATTTCTTAAAATGTTTATTTGTTAATATCACCTGTGATATAATTTATCATTAACCTGGATTATTTATTAATTGTATAATATTGCATTGGCATTCTTCTTAAGTATCTTCCTTATTTACAGTGTTTTTTAACTGTAACAGAACATTCTAGCAAATACTACAAATTCTAGGATGATTGCTTGGTTATAGCTTTATAAACTAGTTTGGTTTACACTAGTGAGTGAAGTGGACAAATGGTTCAGACATATTGTATCTTCTCATTTGCAATGTAGTCTACTCTCTATTCATGAAGTTGATTTTCTGTGTATATGATTCCATTCAAATCCATAATTAATTTTTTTGATAGCAAGCAATTAAGGTGAGAATTTAGAAGTAAAAATAGTTTAAGACTGATGGGTCAAACACTTGTAAACATTCTAATAGCTTCTAGAATAATAGATTTTAAAACTTTTTCAGCTTTGTTAATTAAAGTAAATTAATGCATTCTTATTTTTACTTATGCTGTACTAGTAACACTGGTTTATATTTGTACTTGTTTTTCAGTTGTTTTAACATCTTTTTTGCTTTTGTCTATAAATTTCTCTTGTACTTTGAAACTTGTATTTATTTTAAGCTCTCTTTTTATATAAAACATGATTTTATATGGGTCTTTTTTGTATATGTGCTCTTAAGAACCAGTAGAATATTTCGCATTGTTGAAATTTTCATATTCACTAATTCAAGTGACCTTATGCCAAACTAAATGAGATTGAACAGTAATGGATTTGTTTAAAATTGGAATATTTTATAATTGTTCACTACTTCTGTGACTAACATTCCTAATCTTAAACTGTTCTTTTGGTAACTGCAACAATATTTCTATGTAGATTTGGTATTTTAATAATATAACAGTATTTAACATGATTTGTTAGTATACATTTTTGATAATAATATCTATAACTTTAATATTATGATTTTATATGACTTATTGTAGGTGCAATCGCAGAAGAATACAATGCCTTTTTCTACACATTAGTGTCTCAGGATACAATGGAAATGAACTATGCTCGTAAGAGACAGCGTTTTCTGGTGAACCAAGGTTACTGCTATAAAGTGATTACTAAACTAGCAGGAATGGATGAGGTAAAAAAAATTTAGAAAATAGCTGAAAATTATATGAACATAATGTATTGTAGCTTTCTGTTTTAATATTGAGTGTTAAAGGTCAATCTTTTTTGCAAGAGAATATGGTGTCTTTAATACTGATCATACATATATTTCTGTAACAACCAGGAGAATTTAATGTACAAGACAAAAGAAGAACAGACTCAACTTTTGCAACAGGTTCTGGCAGCTACAGATGCAGATGCTGAAGAAGAACATGTGCCTGGAGAACTAACTTATGGAAAATCTGGAGCTCAGGTGGGCTATGTATCTGTAATTACACATAACATGGTTTAATATTTTTTTTTTTGAATATTATGTTTTAAAGTGACATTCTAATAGAATATTTCATGTCATAACAGTGGCTTATCTAGGTTTTTGGGTGGGCCTACTGTTACAATGAATAAGTAGTAGGTGTATAAATCCTTAGAGGCAAGTTACAGGGAACTGAAAAAAGTACTACACATGATGTTCAGATGTGGGAACCATTACATAGACTCTGATTGATGCACAGACCATGACTCATCCTTGACTATGCCACTATTTCATACTTTATAGTAATCTGTTTATATTTTAAAGGCACCAATAAGTTCATTATTCTCTCTGAAATTAAGAACAGTGCAGTTTATACATTGAGAACTATAAGAAACAAACTTTTTGTTAAAATATCAAATGTGTATAAAATTTGTGGATTTCATTATAATTTTCATTAAAATGAACTGTTAGTAACTTAGTTGACAGTGCTTATAAAGGATTAAACAATGTGTATAAAAACTGGACATGAGAAAAACTATAAATTTTCGAAAGTTTAAAATAATTTTCACTTGCTCATTGTGTGTTATTACCACAAAAGATTGCAGAGTTGAAATTACTTTGTCAAATTCGCTCAGTTGTTAAAATGATCTTTGCTAAAGTGATTAAAAAAGTTTAAGACGCTCAATGTAGTTACTGTTAGGTACAAGAAAAAAAAATGCTTGAAATAAAGTTTCAGTAAAATTTTGTTGAGTAAGCCAACAACATGTAATATATTCTTCTTAGTTTCCCCTCAGCTTTATTTTATAATTATTTCATATAACAAAAGGTTCTTAAAGTTATGGGTAACTTTAAGGAACCTTTATAAGTCCAGGCCTCCAAGTGAACCTATAAAACCTATTAAAGATTATTTTGAGAGTAGTCCTATTTTTTGTAAAAATTACCTATAAAACCTATATTTTTTCAACCAATCTGAATAATACATCTTTGTATTTTGTTTCCATAAGTGTAAGTTTAAAATCAGGATTCAGGAGAAAATGTACACAAACTTATTACAAAAGCCTGATAAATTGGCAAGTATTCTTTGGGAAAACTGTTTTGGTCCTAGTGATTTTATGAGTAGTTTAGGCTGGAAAATTAGTTGTTTGCCAAAGAAATTAGGCAGAAAACTTGTAACAACTTGTATCTTTCTGATCAATTAGTGTATAAAAACTTGTATTTTTATTTTACAATTTTACTCAGAACCTGAGATAGTTTATTTTATTCTTTACAATGGGAAGTGAAATTGTTTAAATGAGTCTTAGCTTTTGATTTTTGATTCACTAAAAAAAGTGGGGTTATGGTCAAAATTGTGTAACTATGTTTGTAAACTTTGGCAAATGTTTTTTTTTTTAATTTGATTGTAAAATGGGTGCAGGTTTGTACTTAAATGTTAAAGTATGCTTAGTGTGAGTTTTTATATTGCATTAGTTGGGATTAATTGAATAACTGTTGAAGATAATGTTGAAAATGTATTTAATGTGCAGTAAATAAAGCAAAGCAAAATGACTTGCTATTTATGAAAAATAGGCATAGAAATACATAGTATTTAATGTAATTAGGACATTTGACAATTAAAATGTTCAAAACATCAAAAATTAGAAGGCAAAGTGAAAGATATATTTTTCTCTCTCTAACAGTCAACTCGTCGTGTAGGCAGCATGAGCTCTTTGTCAGGAGCTGATGATGCTGTGTATGTGGAGTACAGAGGAGATAGGAAAGGACTGTTAGCTCGTCATCCATTATTTAAGAGATTCCGCAGGTGATTGTTATTGTGTTGTTAATTGTACAGTTGATCTATTCTGTATGTAAATAAATCTGCTGAAACATTGCAATTTTGATCTTTGTAATAATAGTATATCTTTTTCATTATTAAATAAATAAATATAAATTGTGAACTTTATAATTTGTGTGTATTTCTATTTTTATCAATAGTCCTTTTAAATAAAATTCTGTAATGCATAATTTCATGTTGCTGAACATAATTTAAAAAAAGATAAATTGTATTAAAATAATATTGAAAAATTCATTTATATCAAAAACTTTATATTGAAAAAAAGTACAAAAATTACAAATTAAACAGTAATGTTGAAAATAATACATACATTTGTGTATCTGAATGCAGAAAAATATTACTCAAAATAGTTTTTCATTTTAAACTTTCAAGTGCATGAGTAATTTGAATTTGAAAGTTTTTCCTGATGAATGTTTTTATCTTTTAAACTGATAATTAACATAATTATATTGGTATTATGTTACAAGAATTGTACTTCTCCAGATTTAAAAAAGTGGTACATTGAATATAATTCACCCATTCCTGGCATTGACTTAAGTTTGATGGAGTTAATTCACTTACTTTTTTTTATCTTGTGCCCTATGGTGAGCTTGGGACTTATAACACTAAAATCTGGAAGTTGATCACTGCTATAGGCACAGCATAGATAGCACATGTTGCAGCTTTGTGTTTAAACCTTTTTTTCAGATGCATCTGTTAGTTTATTTTTTATCACATGATGTATACTTGTAATTCTCATGCACTCACTGATGATGCATTATGGAAGTTTTAGTTGTCTTTCAACATAACTAATTTTTTAGGCCAGTGAGTGGTTTCTGATTGAAGTTAAATTAGAAATAAATATTTAATAAAGTGTAATTTGTCAACATGCTTAATGCTAATTGATCAGGGAATAGAAACTTTACTTGTGCCATTAAAAAAAACTTGTTTCACATAGAGGTCTTGTGGATGTATCCTTTAGATTTAGTTGTTTGGTTAGACCTGAATGTGGGTCTATGTGAGCGCGAAATTCTAAATGAAAATAGAAGAGATTACAGTGTAGAATTTGAAATGGAGTTATTTATATTTTATAAAGGTAATACTTGAAAACTGACACTGAATGCTAGGCTTTAACAGGCATGATAATGAGTATACACTCAATTGATTCACAGTTTAAACAAATTTAAGGGTAGATAAAGTTTTTATTTGTAAATGGAAGACAACAAAACATGTACTGATTGTGATTTCACTCTTGTTTTCTTATGTTATTTATAAATTGTTAGCTTAACTTCTGAATGTTTAGAGCAGAGTACAGCCCAGTGTTTATTTCATCAGATTGTGGACCTGAGGTTCTGTGGTTTGCGTTTTGTTATTGCTGAAAAGAAAATTGTGCTTTGCATTTTAGGCCATGGGTGCATTATAAGAGTGAAAGTCAATTCCCAGTATTTGGTTTTACAAGAGTTGATGGTGGGTGGTATTGAGTAACTACTTTCCATATAGCCTACTACTTTAAAATTAAGGGTGGCTAGCACAGACAATCTTTCATGTAGCTTTGTATGAAATCCACCAAACAAAAATCTGAATGTTTATGATCATTCAACATATTTAGTTTTTAAAAATATTATTTTCACTAGTAGAAATTATAAAGCCACAAACGTAGAGCTGTTAACATTTTTATTGTATCAGTGTTAGCCTTTTGGTACAGTTAATGTGTGAACTTTAGACAAAATTCAGTTATATTTCATGGTTATAACTTGTACAATTGACTGACAATCAGCATGCATATATTTCCAAAGTGCAAAGAAACATAAGAAAAAATTCAAATTATAAGACGCTGATATATCATTGCTGGTACAAACACCGAAAATGAAGTGAAAACTACAGCAGTGATATCTCACTAGCATGGAACAATGTAAGGACTTATTTTCATTAATTAATCAGTTGTTAAAGATTGGGGATATATTTTTTTTCTTTATTGTGCAGCTTCTACAGCTAGAGGACGTCAGCAATGGAATATCAAGTATGATCTGTAAAAACTAAATTATTGAAAATAAGTGTATGAAATATGAAGAGTTCATGGGAAATCCGTGGAACACAAGTCCTTAGTGTATTTAAAGGATGTCAAACTTCAGTTGTTTAACAAAAGGATATTAATATTTTCACAGAGATGTGTGTCCTAAGTCTTACCGATGAGCCACTGGAAAATGGTAAAAAGAAAAACCGATATTAGAACAAGTCATATTAATACATCTAATTTCCATACGACAAAACCCCATAAAACTGGTAGGCTCAACGTTATCAGGTGAGACTAACTGTTAGTGGTGAAATTCTCAACTCTGATAGTTATTATTATAATTTTTCTTATAAATTTATTTTTATCACGATTTTTCAAGCACGGAGACTTTATAATATTAGAGTTTCGCGATAACATTCTATGATTGCTGTTAGGGTAGGAATATTAATCTTATTATTCTACGCTATGGTTTTAATATAGTAAATTAAAGTTGATGTGACATGATGAATCCCTACATCGGGAATTTGTTTGAGAAACAATTGCAGTTGTCAAAAACGCATTTTAGGCGAAAGCAGGTTACAGAGAATGTTGATTGGTTACTTACGGACATAGCATACTTCAAGTGACTTGTGTGCCAAACTATGGAAACGAGGTTTCATGGTTTGCTCTCCATTACCACTGAAAATGATAAAATAAAAATCGTGCTCTTCACTTTGTGACCATGGATGCATTATAAAAGTGACAGTCAAATCTCACTGTTCGATTAGAATGGCCCACGAGTTGATGGTAAGTGATGTTGATTAACTGCCCTATAACGCCCCCATGGCTGAAAGGGCGAGCATGTTAGGTGTTAACGACCTTAACTACCAAGCCATGGCGAGCCAGAAGTTCAAGAAATAAAATGTTGTCGCTACTATTAAGTGAACTGGACTAGGTGAACTTTGTGTTATTTTTTACCGAATAATCCAAACGAATTCGCAACATAATATAAATCGTTATAACGATATCGCTACCGCTCTGGCCACTACTCATAAAAAAAAAAAAAAAGATGACAAAATTATCAAAGAAACTTTCGGTAAGTTCGTTACTGAAACGCTTCTTCAAATTATTCGTGTCATCATTGGGCAATGGAAAGTTGTATGATATATATAAAAAAGTATAATCAAGTATCGTAAGGGTCATAACTACCACAGCACTTAAATTGAGAAAATGCAGCCTACCTATTAAGCTGGTCCAAATACAAGGCACATGTCTAAAACCTATACCAATAGTGCCACACTACAAGACAAAGCCACAGAATACGAAATGCTAAGCCAATGTCAAACAAAACTAATTCAATTAGGTAGTGTCCATATACATAAGATGGAGACAATTCTCACCTGTCATGACATCAGCAGAGCAGGTGTAAGATATCGAAAGCCTCAGCACAACTAATGGCATCGCAGAAAATGTTAAAGCCATAAACCCACAAGTCGGTATCAGACGTAACTACCCTAGCTAACTAACGACAAAAATACGAAACCTTATAACCCGAACGCTTTCGAAAAACGGACATTTCTTAATTAAGAACAACTACCGTATTTTTCGGAATATAAGACGCACCCTTATTTTGAAGACAAAGTTTTGGGGATAAAAAAGCTACAGTCGCATTTGAAAGATTTCTATTGAACAAAAATTCAATTTGATACTTTAAAAATTAGTATATATTATTCTAAACACAAAAGAGCTCAAAACATCAAAATAAGAAAATACCGCAAATAAAAAAAAAAAGGTTTACTGTTATTTAGTTTGGTTCAAAATCTTCATTGCTTTCACTGTCGCTTGGAAAGGAATCATTGGATCCAATACTATGGTCAAAGAGAATGTCATACTCGGTCCCATCCATTGCGTTACTGATACCACATTTCTTAAATGACTTAATCACTATATCACTTCTTACTTTTTCCCACGAATTCTTCACCCACATGCAGACCTGAGCAAGCGTCGGTCTCTTCCTTCGTCCTGTAGGGGTCGTAGCAAAATCTTCCTGCTGCATCCAGTTGTTCCATTCCTCTATCATTAAAGTCTTGAAGGGTTTGTTAATAGAAACATCGAGAGGTTGCAGTTGACTTGTTAAACCACCGGGTATAACAGCCAGGTGTGTTTTTAGCTCATTATCTTTTTCCTTTATTTTTTCCGTTTTATGAGCTCTAAAGGAATCCCAGACTAGGAGAGAAGGCTTTTTTAATAAGCCTCCTTGACGTTTCGACCAAATTTTTTCAAACCAAAGTAGTGTTCCGTCTTCATCCATCCATCCTTTTTCATGTACGTGAACGCAGACACCGCTGGGTAAATTTTCTTTGGGCATTGTTTTTCTTTTAAAAATTAACATTGGTGGTAATTTTGTTCCATCTGCACAACATGCTAGCACCAGTAGTCTTAACAGTAATAGATTTAGTACTTTTTATATCAGTTGTTCTATGCTTGGAACATCAAATGTTAAAGATGTTTTATCCATGTTTGCTATTTGAGACAATTCAAATGTAGTTTTTTTTTCTTAACTGTATAATATACTTGAGAAAAGCACAAATTTTCATCTCAAACTCATCAGGCATTCTTTGAGCAATTTTCGTTTTAGTTCTCATAACTAGGCCTTTGCGTTTCATGAACCGATAAAACCACGATGTATGACCAGTAAAATCTTCTAAACTATTATCACATGCAATCCTCTTTGCTTTAAAAATTATCATATTTGTAGAAACAGATAGTCCTTGCCTTTTCTGATCCACAACCCATTCGTACAGTTTATTTTCGAAATCTTGCCATTGGGTTTTTTTTCCCTCGGAAATTGCGTTTATCACTTTTAATCATTTTCAATTCTTCTTCTTGTTCGCGCCAGCAACGAATCATTTTTTCTGTTGGTGGAGGACTAAAATATCTTTCGGCAGCTCTGTTTCCATGCTCTTTTGCATAATTAATCACACTTAATTTAAATTTAGCTGTGTATGACAGTCTCTTTTCTTGAGACATCGTAAGGGGTGAAAAAATAGAACGAGAAATGAAGAAACAACTATTTTGCTCCCGAGGCCTGAGATATGGTACTTCAACTTTCGGTGACGCATCCAACTTGA